TCACTTCTGTCGAAAAATTATTAGCTAAAACGAGTGGCGACGCTCACAATATAGTTTCAAATTCACCCCTTACTAATGATGGCTTTCGATCAGCGTGGGATAACCTCACTGAGCACTTCGAAAACAAGCGATTGTTAGTAAACAGTCAATTAAAGATACTTTTCAATGTACCGTCCGTCACACAGGAGTCTGGGTCAGCTTTGAAAGAACTTCAAAGTACCATCCATGGTTGCCTTACTGCACTAGAAATGTCCGGTATTCAGGTCGAAACTTGGGATTGCCTCTTGGTGTATATGTGCTCGTCCAAACTCCCAAAGCTTACGCTTTCTTTATGGGAGCAGTCCCTCCATAACAAAGCCGAGATCCCTACGTGGCACGAGCTGAACGTTTTCCTAACGGAGCGTCACAGGACACTAGAAGCCATAGATGATGTTCGACCATCAGGTTCTAGTCAGACTCAGCCCAGGGCATCCACTTCCAACTCGGCGTCTCGAAGAATAAATTCATACGAGACAAGGGTAGCACCTAGCCAACCTAGAGGGTGCGATCTCTGTAATAGAGAGAACCATCCTGTACGCACATGCGCCAAATTTCTCCAGATGACGGTCGACCAACGCATCGCATATATAAAAAGAAAACAGCTGTGTTTAAACTGCTTTGCGCGGACACATCAGTTGCGCGACTGCGAAAGCGCACATAACTGCTTCACGTGCCGCGGCCGCCATCACACCCTCCTACACCGAGGCAGCCCATCCAAAGCCAACGACCAGATCCAGACCAAATACTCTCGGTCCCTCGGCTGCCAGTGTCACGCAGTCAACGCTTCAGAATTATTTTGCGGCAGGCACTAGGTCAGTCCTCCTAGGCACCGCTATAATTAATATATGCCATCGAGGTTCCAATTTCCAAGCGCGAGCCTTAATAGACTCCGGATCTGAGGCGACCTTCATCACTGAGCGCCTTTTCAACCTGATTAAACTGCCGTTCCAGGTTATCCGAGCACAGGTCTCAGGACTTAATCAAACGGTCTCCGCTGAGACCAAAAAGATCTGTCAATTCACGATCCGTTCTCCGATCCGGCCTAGCTTGCAGTTAAACACCACTGCCTACGTGCTTCCACAAATAGCCGGAAATCTTCCTTCATGTCCGCTTCCGCAACATTTCCTGCGAGACCTTCCCGAACTTCCGCTAGCGGATCCAAAGTTTTATGAGAGCGCACAAATAGATATTCTAATCGGGGCCGATATACTTCCATCCATTCTACTAAGCGGTACCCGAGCGAACATCTGTGGCTCGCTTCTCGGTCAAGAGACCATTTTCGGCTGGATTCTAACAGGACCAGTACCCGCTCCGAGGCATGATCAAATATCATCCTTTTCCACGCAAGTTGCACACACGTATGAAGCGTCTCTCGATAAACTCCTCACCAAATTCTGGGAGGTGGAGGATCTGCCAGTAAAAGTGGCAAAAGAATCCGACGTGATTTGTGAGGACAATTTCCTTCGGACCACCACAAAAGACGAGACCGGCAGGTATGTCGTGAGTCTTCCTTTTCGAGATCCTGAGAACATTAATTGCTCCCTAGGACATTCCAGATCCCAGGCGCTGGCTCAATTCTTAAGAAACGAGCAGCGGCTAAAAAGGGACAGTACGTTAAAATCCAAGTACGACTCAGTTATTCAAGAATATCTCGACCTCAATCACATGAGAGAAGTCCTTCCTACCTACGATTCAGCATGTTACTACCTGCCACACCATGCAGTGTTAAAACCGGAGAGTACGACCACCAAGCTTTGAGTGGTATTCAACGCCTCCAGCCCTTCAGACAATGGGGTCAGCTTAAATGATATCCTTCATGCTGGCCCGGTCCTACAGTCCGATCTAACCATCCAGATCCTGAAGTGGCGATATTTCCGATTTCTGTATAGTGCTGACATCGAGAAAATGTACCGGCAGATCTGGGTAGATCCGAAGCAGACAGCGTTCCAACGTATCTTATTCCGCGATAGGGAAGGATACATTCGAGATTTTGAGCTAAAAACTGTTACGTTTGGGGTCAATTGTGCGCCGTTCCTGGCAATTCGGGTTCTGCAACAGCTGGCGACCGACGTCCAACTAACCCATCCGAGGGCGAGTAAAGTTATTCGTGGTTGCATGTATGTCGATGGTGTCCTTTCGGGAGCTGACTCTGCAGAAGAGGCTCACCTCACCATTCGCGAGTTGCAGAGAGCCCTCGATTCGGCTGGTTTTCCATAGAGGAAATGGACCTCCAACCACAAAGAAGTTCTGGCTCATATCGAAACCGATCATCTTTTAAATGCCGATTTCTTCGAAATAGATACGGAAAGCACGGCGAAAACTCTCGGAGTCCGTTGGAAAGCAACATCCGATGAGTTTTTCTTCAGAGAGCTTTACGGGTCTTTGCGTATGTCCACCGTTTTGTCCAGCGATGTAGGAAACAGTCGCCGATTCCGGAAGTCCATCTAGAAGCCCAAGGACTTGTCGCCGCTGAACGGCTCATGGTCATTAGCACTCAGCGCAGATATTTTGCTAATGAATATCGCTGCTTGAGTCAAAAGCGTCCTGTGTCCGCGACAAGTTCCATCCTCTCCTTGAACCCCTTTCTAGATGAGAAAGGGCTTATAAGGGCGTGCGGCCGAATAACGGCCTCCGAAAATTTGCGATATGATGAACGACATCCTATAATCCTCCCGTAAGAATGTGCACTCTCGCGACTACTGGTAAACTTTACGCATCTCATAACGTTGCACGGAGGTAACCAGTTAGTCTTACGTCTCACCCGGTCAAGATATTGGGTTCCGAAAATAAAGAACTTGGTAAAGGCCGTTATTAACTCCTGCAAGGTCTGCGTTATCCATAAGAAGCGATTGCAAGTTCAGATGAAAGAGCGAGTCTCTTTTTCCCGGCCATTCACGTACACAGGGATGGACTACGCTGGCCCTTTCGACATAAAAAATTACACAGGCAGAGCTTGCCTAATTACAAAAGGGTATGTGTTGGTTTTCGTGTGTTTCTCTACAAAGGCCATCCATCTAGAGCCTACATCCTATCTGACGACCAAGAAATTTCTCGCCGCTTTCGCTTGGTTCGTATCCAGAAGAGGTTGTCCCCGTCAAGTGCAGTCCGACAATGGGAAAACCTTTGTCGGCGCTGCTCTCTCGAGATTTTCTACAAGCCGTAAAAGAGTCTGTGACTGATGCGTATAGTCATCAGCAGCTCAACTGGCAATTCATTCCTCCGGGGGCACCCCATATGGGAGGCCTGTGGGAAGCGGGTGTCAAAAGCTTCAAAACCTTGTTTTAAAAGTCCACCGCTACTCGAAAGTACACTTTTGAAGAACTTTCAACCCTCCTAGCGAAAATTGAAGCTTGTCTGAATTCCAGACCGCTATCTCCTATGCCTGAAGATCCCAATGATCTCTTAGCATTGACACCAGGACATTTTCTAGTCGGCGGACCTCTTCTGTCCATAGTGGAACCCGAATTAAAAGGGGAATCCAAGTCCATTGTGAATCGGTGGCAACACTTAAAGGCGCTCCATCAACAATTCCAAGCTCGATGGAAAGAGGAGTGGTTCTTCTGCCAGGAGAACACTCCAACCGTCTTCCTCAACCAACATCCTCCACATAATTCCCCAACAATCCTCACCACATCTAAGCAGTTTCAAATCATCTTTGGTTCATCATGGTTCCTCGTCCACGCAGCGCTCAGGCATTGGAAAGCAGACGTACTCGAGGTATACATTCCTACCGATGCCGAGTCTGCCGTGGAATCCATCCGCTTCGAAAGTGCCAGAGGTTCCTAAAGCTGAGCGCAGAGAAGCGGCTTCGGGCAGTGCTTATTAATAAGTACTGCTCAATTTGTCTCGCCCACGAGCACTCCGACGGGAGTTGTCGCAGTGGCGACAAATGCAAAACGTGCAACGGGAAGCACCACACGCTCCTCCATATGCACGAGCGTCCCCTGCCGTCGGCTACTCAACAGCGTTCGCGCCGGCAGAATCCGCCAACTCGCCAAGCGCTAGCCCCGGCGAAGCGCTCGGCATCCGCCAACTCGCAGAGCGCTTGCCTCTCCGCCGCGCTCAGCCTCCTCGGCACCGGCTCTGTCACTTGCGTCCATCCTTCAACGGCACAGCGTGAATGTCCTGCCGACGGCCATGGTCACTTTGGAGACCGGGCTGAAGACCTTTGACACGGCCGCCCTCATCGACCCGTGTACGCCGACGAGCTGCATCGACGCATCATTGGCGTCCGCATTCCGCTTGCCGACTACGACCGTCGGCGACGAGAGCATCTGCACGGCGACAATTCGGTCGAAGTGCGACAACGGCTTCAAGCTAGAGGTGGTCTTGAAAGTGGAGCCGAACGTCCGCATCCGCACCCCCATCCGAGAGCTCTCGGACACCGTGGTCGGCAGATACGGAGACCTCCCGTTGGCCGACAAACGCTTTTACTTGCCGGCAACCATCTCTGTAGTCCTGGGTGCGGATGTCTACGCCAAGGTCATCCGACCGGGCTTCCATCTGGTCGACGAGGGACTCCCAGTGGCCCAGAAGACGGTATTCGGGTGGATCCTGTCCGGCGCCTGCAGTCAAGCCTAGACGACAGGAAAGGGCTTGTTTTTCTTTTGCAACGCTAGCGATTGCAAGGGGGGCGGAATGTTTACGACGCTCTCCCCTCTTTTAAACTACCCGCGCTTCCATCGTAGCGAATGCCCACTCGCCCGCACTGGATGCTCGCGACTCCAGGCTCTCCCGCTCTCCCGCTCTCCCGCACTGGACGCTTGCGATTCCAGGCTCTCCCGCCTTCCCGCTCCCGGAATCTCGCCACTGCGCTTTGAAACGCAGCGCTCAATTAGGTTTAAGTTAGTCTTTCATTGTCTCATTAGTGAAATACATCGCCCGGCCGGTCCGCGCTTTTACCGAAAACCACATCGAGCTTTTTCCTTCCTTTGCGCACCGCGATCGTCGAGTGTTTCTCTTCACCATCTCTTCCAACTTGCTACCCGGCTACGTGCAACAGCCGCAACGTCCGACGAAGCTGCCCCCAAGCGACGATCATCCCCGACGCCCAATCTCTTCATTTTTTGTGGTTCTTCGAGCCGGATAATATTTTCCTCCAGGAAGCTTAAGTCCGGAAGCTCCAGTTCTGGGCAAGACTTTTCTTCTGTATGGTTTAGAGAGAAGAGATCTGCCATTGAGCTGAGATTCATATTTGATTCAGCAGAAGATTCAACTGAGTTCGTGTCTGTGCTAGGAGTCAGTTGTTGCAGCAATTGTAGTATGAACTCGTCGTCATCATCTGAAGGAGGATCAGCCAATGAAACTGCACCAGAGGGAGGAGGTAGCGTAGGGCCTGGAGATTCTACAACATGAATAGCTGACAATGGATCAATAAAGGGATCTCCTGCCTCCAAGTCTAGCTCCTCATCCGAGGAGACCTCGTCGTTGTGTGGCCACAGACAACTCCGCGACTCGCACTTTAGCAGCTGCTCCTCAAGATTTATGTAGAAGAAGCGCAGCTTGTGATTCCTGCCCAATCCTAGGCACTCCAGGCATGCGTCTCCCGGCTGCAGTTGTTCCATTGTGTATGGCGATTGTGGGGTTCGCCTGGCCGGAAAACTCAATGTCTGCCCCCGAAATGGGTATGCTGCTCCCTGCTTTTGTGGTTTAATGTGCGAGAGCTCACCTGACCGAAGGTTAAACGGAAAGCGTACAGGCCGAGATTGGTTGTTTTCATGGTCCGTTCCAGTTCCAAATCCAGCAATTCGGGACGATTCGGGTGGCGAGTGAAAATTGAGTTCAGCGCTCTCTAATTATCCGCGGGCGTTGCAGCCGATTAAACCAGCAGCGTTGCTACAATTTGGTAAGCAAATAAAAATCAAGAAAATGAAACGATCTAGAACGCATGTGAGCAGCAGAGCGAGAGCGAAAGGGATCGTTTTATTTTCTTGATTTTTATTTGCTCGTGTGTATTGATAATAATGGCAGTGTTAATTTAAAGATTACTAATCCTTTACCACCTTTGCTTCTGCCCTCATTAACTTATATAATTGAAGTATATCATCGTTGATGAGAGGGAGCTTTTTTCCTTGAGGCATGTGAATTTTTAGTTTGTTTAAAAGTTGTCGAAGTTGCTTGGGAGAAACGAGCAGTGGGCTAATTTCATTGTGATGGACGTTTGCCAGAACATATGAAATTTCTGTCTGAATTCTTTGAAGATTTGCCGCCAATATAGATAATTGAGTTGCCAATGCAATATACCATTGAAAGGCCTTAAGAGAATCTAGACGAGCATTGGCTATATCCTCCATTTGATGAGTCATTATTTTAATCCTTTTATCGATAGAATCAATTATTGAAGTTTGATTCTTAGCTAATTCTAAAATGTAATCTTTATTCGATTCCAACCTTAAGTGTCCCCGTGTAAAATGTCTTTACATCTTCGGGATACGGCTTAAAATCATAATAAGCTATGATTGTGCAGTCTGCAGTTGCTAGTCGAGTAGATCTAATTTTCTCGTAATAAATTCCTGGCCTCGAACCAAACCTGGTTATGTTAATTGGACCGGCGGTAGCTAATGGTAAGCTGCAGCAAGATTTTTCTTTTTGGCTCTTGATCTTCCTTTGTTTCTTCTTCAGCATCTTCTTCATTAATTTCCTTGCGTTTTTCTTCTGGATCTTCTTGACGGAATAGTGGAGCAAGCTTATGAATTGCTCTTTTAAAGGCTCCTGTTGCAATTTTTACGTCTGCAACTCGCACATATCCATCTTGACCTGGATAAATTTTTATTATTCGTCCTATGGCCAGTGAAGCATAAGCACCTTGTCTTCCTTGACAATAACCAACATGCCTTCTCTTACATTTTTATGGGCCTGTTTCCATTTTGAGTGTTGTTGCTGGCTTGTTAAATATTCTCTGGACCATTGCGTCCAGAAAGTGTGCTTGAGTCGCTGCACCAGTTCCCATTGTTCAGGTAGTGATTTTATTCTAAGTGGTTCTGGGTCTGGCTGAGCGACTAGTGCTTCTCCAATCAATAAATGACCTGGTGTAAGGACTGTAAAGTCATTAGGATTTGAGTAAGTGGCCGAGAATTTAATACTGCCTCGACATTTGTTTTGACAGTGCTCAACTGCTCAAAGGTGAGGTTTGCAGTGGAAACATTTTTTAATAACAACGTCTTTGCTGACTTTACTGCAGCTTCCCATAATCCACCAAAGTGAGGGGATCTCGGTGGAATAAATTTAAAGTGAACACCCTTCGTATTGCACAGCTGGAGTATGGAGTTATTAGCCTGCTGTGAGTGGATTGTTTCCTTTAACTCATTCAATTTAACTCATTCAATTATATATACAGATTTTAGTAAGGCCTTTGACTCCGTCAACCACTCTCTTCTCTTATTCAAATTAGATCTGCTTGGGTTTCCTGGTAATCTATTATCTTGGATTTCAAGTTACTTGAATGGTAGGACTCAGAGGGTTATATTCAAGAATTCTGTTTCAAAATTGATCTACGTGACATCTGGAGTCCCTCAGGGAAGTCATCTGGGCCCTTTGCTGTTTACTTTGTTTATCAACGATCTTCCCTCTATCATAACACATTCTAGTGTACTAATGTATGCTGATGATGTTAAGCTTTGTTTATCATATAATGATATAGCGTCGGGATTAAACTTACAGTCAGATATTGATTGTTTTCATGAATGGTGTGAGTACAACCTTTTAAAGTTGAACTACCTTAAATGCAACGTTATGACTTTTTATAGGGGTACTCCTACGTTTATTAGTTATTTTCTTAAAAATACGTCACTCGACTGTATATATTCAGTTAACGATTTTGGTGTTCTTCTGGACCCTAAACTTAAATTTGACTGCCATATAATGTCCACTGTTAATAAAGCCATGAGTGTTCTTGGCTTTATAAAGCGTTGTTCAAAAGAATTTGATGACCCTTATACGACCAAATTATTATTTACCTCCCTTGTCCGTCCTATTTTGAAATATTGTTCGTCGGTTTGGAGTCCACAATATCAAGTGCACATTGACCGTATTGAGTCGGTACAAAAAAATTTTCTTCTATTTGCTTTTCGTAGTTTGAACTGGGATCAAAACGTAAGGCTACCTTCCTACCAGAGTAGATTACTGTTGCTTAATTTACCTACACTTTGTAACGAACTGTTTTTTTATGGTTTGCTCGCTACGAAATTCGTGCGGCTAGCTCAGTAGAAATTTGTGCGTTCGTCCCACCAAATTTATATTAAACGTGACCGCCCGGTTAACAGTAACAAAACTTCAGAATTCAGTTAAGAAGGCGTTTATTTACGGCTCTGGCTGACAATATTTGAATATATCTTGTTGATGCTCCTGCGTCGCCGCTCGGTGATTCCTTGCTGCTGATGGTCCTATTCGCTCCGAGTACTTTCGCTGCCGCTCATAGACGAGGGCGTGGAGTTGGACCGTTGGGCTTAGGGAAGCGTCACCGTTCTCAGACTAGGGTGAACAGGCACCACGCTCGCAAGACCTTCGTCCTGCCAGCCGCAGCCTCCTGTCCCTTGCTCTGTCCCGGCCGGTCCCGCTAGACGCTCACTCAGTTTCCTTTGACGCTCTGGTACTACGGCCAGATCACGTCAGCAGTCCCTATAGCCAGCGCCCAGAGAAAGACGAACGTTCCACCCTGGCCTTCCCTCCTGACTGTTGCGATCGTACCTGAGGCTTGGCTCTTGTTGCGGTCTCTGGCGGCCAATGTAGTCGGCCTGGTTGGTATTACAGCCGGCACAGTTAGTCTGATCGGTATTACAGCCAATGCAGCTAAACTGACCGGTATTGCAGCCAACTTAGACGCACACAGTTAGAATAAATTGGTATTACAGCCAATGTAGCCGGAATGATTGGTATTACAGCCGGCACAGCTAGCCTGATCGGTATTACAGCCAATGCAGCTAAACTGACCGGTATTACAGCCAACTTCGTCGGACTAATCGGTATTACAGCCAATCTTGATGTTCTGTAGACTTGGCCGTGGGTTGCCGTTCGAGGACTCAGCTACCTGTGTCTCAATTCGGTGACTTGCTCGGTCCCGAACGTCTCGACGTAGCGATCTTGTTCACGGTTGGTTCTCACGGTGGTATATTCTTGACTTTGACTTTTACTAGACGATGTTCACTCGTAGTTTGATGCTCGATGACTGGTCCTGATTCCAGCGCTGGGCCCGTTTATATAGGCCTCCGGGTCCCGTTAATCCTCGGCCATTCCTTTTCTTCTCTCCACTCCAAGGTCCAAAGTCCACGGTTTTACCGTTTGACCTTTCGCCCTCTGCACACGGCACCACACTGAAGTCCACAGTGCAGCGCTGTACCGTTCCTTCCTTGCTCACGGCACGCCTGCGCTCTCTGGGCTCTCGCTCTGACTAGTGCCGTCTCGCTCTGGCACCTCTCTCCGCTCCGTCTCTCCCAATCTCTCCAAACTCTCTTTGGGTTCGTACTTTGTACTTTCTCTCCTCGTACTCTCCAACTGTTTTCTCCAAACTCTCTTTTCCTGCGTTGCCGTTACTACGCGAAGTAGTTGCGTAAGTACCAACTGGCAGGTTTTCCATGCAGTTATTTTTGAGATATTTTGTGTGGAGTTATTTAACTCCTCACAACTTGTAAATCGTAGAAAAATGCTTGGTACTATTTTTATGCATAATCTTATAAGAGGTGATATTGATTCTGCAGAACTTGTAAGCCGCCTAACTTTCAATGTTCCTGTTAGACTAACACGAAATTATATCCCTCTAAATTTGCCACGATGTTCATCAAATTTTTGTCTGCACGAGCCCTTTCGCGTTCTATGCAATACTTATAACAACCTTTATCATCTAATTTGCATTTCCACTTCTATCCCGTTATTAAAAACTAATATTTTAACTCATTTGCTTTTCTCTTAATTGTGCCTTTTATTTTCACTTGTGTCTTGTCTCTATTTAATTTATGTATTTTCCTCGCGAACTCGCATTTTTTGCCCAAATTTATAATAGGGCCCGCGCGTAACAAGCACGTGCTTGGTGTCGTTGGGCCACTTGTTTGTACTGCTCGTAGTGCATCAACGTCCATCAGAATTGGTTGCTGGCTTCAACGAAATTTGTTGCATTGTCGCAGTAAAGGGTCTGACACGACGACTTATAAATCGCTGTAATGCTCCAAGGAATGCTGCAGTCGTTAAATCTCCGACAAGTTCCAGATGGACAGCCTTTGTGGAAAAACAAACAAATACTGCTATGTATGCTTTATCAGGTCGCTTGCCTCGGACTTTGTGATGTATCCAGAAGAGTCCGCAATAATCAACTCCGGTATTTAAAAATGGTCTGTTTTGTGAGACTCTATGCTCAGGTAGTTTTCCTATTATTTGAGAAAGTAATTTTGGACGAAACCAACGCATTTCATAATTACGTTCCTAACCATAGGAGTGATTTTGATAATGTGATACTGCTGTCGTGCAATACCTTTTAAGGTATTTTGACCACAGTGCATATTTTCCTGATGAATTTGATGTAGCAGCATTTGTACGATGTTGTCATTGTATAGGGATATGATATGATTCATTGCAT